GTGTTGACTATAATACCTATTAACTTCATGATTTATATGACACTATGTTTGCAATTTTCACTCCCAAGCCACTGCAATTACTAGAAAAATCCTTGCTTGGTATGTGAGCAAAGGTATCAAAAAGAACAGTTTTGTAATTTGTGGCATCCAAAGATAGGTATAAAGAAGTTGGAAAGTCATTATTATGTTAAATGACATCCTTTGTTAAAGGGTGCTGTGTACTCCAGGTAGGGAAACAAAATAAGGAAATATTTTCTCTGATCCTGGCCTCCTATATCAGGCAACTGGTGTAAATAATTTGGTTACAGGGCTTGTATTTCAAAGGACCACAGATCAGTGGTGACACTAACAAGAAAAGTAGGCAGTCAGTACTGTAGAATCTCACAGTTTTGGTGATAATGCATGCATTTATTTATCTCAGATTTTGGCTTGAAATTTCTGGTGTCAAACCTTTTTTTTTGATGGTGAGGAGAATAGAAAAAGGATGTGCAAGGCAACGTAGGTAGAAAAAAATGAAGATAAAAAGACTGGTTTAACAGGGAAAAAGGGGAGAAGAAAAAGTCATTGCAATATTTGGAAACAAAATGAACAGGTGAAATTATGGTGCAAAGGGACAAGTTTATGAATATCAGTTCTATAGACTCTTAAGGCATAAGTAATTTCATCTAACTGGATCTGTCAGTGTCTGAAGTTGTCACCATAGATTCCCTCTAATGCCAATGGAGAGAAAGAGATGCTTTTAAAACATGATTCAGCTGACCTATTTTAGCCATCTACTTCAGGATGAGATGAATCATAACCTAAAAGTACCTATTTCTCTCTATTGATTATGAAAAGAGTCCAGAGTGACAACTTCAGATTTAGATGTCTCAGTTATAGATTTTTGTACTTTGTTAGATGACTCCCACTATTAGAGCCTATAGATTCTGACACATCTTGACTTTTTTCCATAATTTCTTATTGAAAAAACAGCTAGTATGGAAAAATAGGGGAGATACACATATATTTGTATCAGGTGCAATATACTGTAGAATGGCTGAAAAATTGACATTATGTGTGTGAAATGTTGACATTTTGATGAAAAAATCAACACCCAAAATATTTTACTGGTGAAAGAAAATATTTCTCTGTGGAAATACTGACAAGTGGCCTCATGTCAATGACAGGTCAGTCCTTAAGGCTTCCAACCTTCATTACAGGACAGTTTCTGCCAGGTCTACATATTCCAGGATTCACTCTGATTCATTCCATTGGTTATCCTGTGCTACTTGACATCCTCCTTCCAGTGACATCTTGCAAGAGATGAACCCAGCTAAGCAGCCAGAGTCAAGCAGGAGAGACTGGAAACATGAAGTAGTGAATTTAAGTTCTGCAAGATGGCACACTTTTAACTGAAGTATGCAGAGTTTTGGTACAATGGTAGCAAATTAATATTTTAAACAAGCACGGCATTTAAAAAAAAAGAAATAAATTAGTTAGAATCAACAACCTGACTTCTCAACACCCAGACTAATTATTCAATCTTCAAAGAAAGCTGAATTAAGGTTGAATGCTTATTCCTTATTTTGTTACTGTTTTTCAAGGCTCTTTATAATATTCCAAGTCCTCTTTGATAGGCTTATGATGATATTTTAGATTTCTGTGTTCCTTTTCCCTTTCTCTTTCCCTTTTCTTATCCCTTTCCTCTCCCATTCTTTTATTTTACTTCTTTTCTCAGCCTTTTCTTGTCTCTCTTTCTCTCTTGTTGAGGAACTGTGGATGGTGCTAATAAACTTACTACAAATTTTACCACTGTGTAGTTAGTAAAGATTACTTTTCAGTATGGTTCCAGCACAGAAAATCTCAAACAAATTAGATTTAGTCTACAGGCTACCAAATCAAACTTAAGTGTAAAGATATGCGTAAGTTAAGTTCAGAAATATCTTTGAAGATATTTCTTATGCATAATTTTTTCTAGAGATAACATCATGTTCAAGTTACAGAGGCTGCATTACTCATGTGCATAAAATAGTAACCTTCGCGAATGGTTTAAACAAGTTTTGCTCTTCAAGAAGCCAGAGATTATGGCTCTTGATTCCAGCTGGGTGGAATTGATAGGTAGAAAACTTAATTTAGGTGTTTCCTTTAAAAGAAAATCTCAGTTTTAAAAAGAAGAGCAAAGGCTGAACAACCTCTGAGGTTCTGAGTTTCCTTCAGCAAACTCTGCTGATGTTCCATTATTTGTCAATAAAACTAAGGTAGATGGAGAAATAGGCTACTCTTAGTTTTATTTGGAGTTTAAATTCAAATGCTTATAACATAGCATATTATATGATGCAAATAAAAAATAGACTTTAATGATACACGTTACACACAACCAAAAGCTCTAATGACATAGTCAAGAACTAAAAAAAAAGCCTTTTAAATATGCACAATGTTTTGCATTTGATTATGTATTCACATATTATTTATTTTTACAGATGTCACCTTGCATTTTCCCAAACCTTGATGCCCTCTAAATTCCAATCTGCCACAGCCTTCTCAGTTCAATGTGTTCCTCAAAAGTGGTCCTTTAACTGAGCCCCATTTTCACTCACTGTATTGAAATCCTCTGTCAATTTAGCACGAGATTCATTGCTCACAGTAACAGTGTCACCTCAGAATTTTCACTTGGGCTTAGACATCCTTAAGCTGTCCTGATCTCTATTCTACTTGTGAAGATCCCCAGTTGGCTTTTTTTTACACCTTTTCTGTGCTGGTTTTACTGGCTATGCCCATTGCCTGACTCCCTGTCTCAGAGGGTAAGGGCTTCCTATTTCCTAAATACCACTCCAGTTCACTGCTTAGTGGGTGTGTGCGTGTGGTATGTTGAGGGAACAATTATTCTCCTATTATATCTGGCCACATCCAGATACTGTGTCTGGTTTTGGAAAACCAAAGCAAGAAATACATAAATCAGTGTAATCCAGGGACTAACAGCACATTTCCTATAAAGAATGAAATTCTTTGGCAGCTGGGTTTTGTTCAGACTGGAGAGGTGGCTGTAGGGGAACCTCAGAGCCAACTTTCAACATTTATGAGTAGGCTATTCAGATGGCAGAGATAATTCTGTCACTGGGGTGCGCAGTTAAAGAACAAGAGATAATGGACTTCGCTGGAAAGGGAGGTGTTCTGACTGGATGTAAGAAAAAAGGTTTTTAATTGAAGAAAATAAACTACTAGAGTAGATTGCCCAGAGATATCATGGAATCCACTCTCAGAGGTTTTCAAGACCTGACAGGAGAAAGTCCTGAAGCAACCTGGCTTCTGAATTTGATGCTGAAATTTTTCTTAGTAGAAGATTGAACCAGAGACCTCCTGAAGACCCTTTAAAACTGCACAGGTCTGTAATACTATGAAATCTCTGTCGAAATTTCTTCTTCCAAAAGTTATTCTCTAGTCCAATTTAGAATGGGTTTGGATTTATAGCAATCCTATGAATCCCTTTAAAACTTCAAGCCTTTACTGTCAGGCATAGAATACTTGGAACTCTTCAAAAGAAAGACTGCCATAACTTTTTCAATGTATACAAAACAAGATTATCTCCCTGGACTCTTTGTTGGATTCTACTGAGTCTAGAATATCCGAAGAAAGAATAATGAAGTCTGAGGCAAGAAGTATGAGTGTTGGACTCTTGCTGGTCTACCAATAGCACTACCAAAGGTGCTGCTAATCCATCATGACTGCAGTGAAAGCTCAGCTCCCCATACCACCAGCAAAACATCACATGTTAAAACCAGGCAATTTGCCAGATACAAGTTCCTCCTTATTGGGAATACCTCAATTTGGCAAATAAAGAGGTAAACCAGAATATATTCTATTTGATCATCTGTCCTTAATGCACTATATTGTTTTTAAAATGAGTTGTATGGAATTATTAATTCAATGTATTGGCCAGTTGTAAAAATTATGCCTGGTATCAGCTGTAATCTTTTAACAGCTTTTCTCCCCTCTCTCTCTGCCCCTCCCTCCTTCAACCCTCCCCCCCCCCCAAATTTATTGCTGACCTGCTGTGAGGTTTTCCTCTGAGATTCCTGTAGTTCCAAATATGTATGACTTAGCTAAGAGATGATTGCTGACATCTAGCAAAGTTAATAGAAAACGAAAAGAATGCTACAAGTACAGGACAGCCAACAACACATAAAGAAAATAAGATAAATTTTGTCATATTTTATGGCAAAGAAAGTGAAAGATAGAGCAATGTCTATTCTTCAGCTTGGAAGCTAGTGAGTTCTTGTAGAAAAAACATCAAATAAAAAAAATTGGCTGCAGAGAAAATTAAACTGTAACGTGATGAGAAGTATCTCAAAAGTGGACTACACAAAGAAAAGCTGAAATGTAATAGATTAAAAGAGTATTTTCATAAATGAAATCTATCAGTATAGATACTTGTCTGCTTGTGTTTGACTGGTTATCAAAGACAGTGTTGAGTAAACTCATAAATGGTAAGTGAACTTTATATGTGGAAGATCCTTTGGGAATCAAGAAACTATGTGCACTCTAAGCCTGACAGCTGATGTGAGTATTTTCATTCCATATTTTCTAAACAAGTCAAGAAAAAGACAACCAGTCTGTAAGGTACTCAGAATGGGCAGACTTACAGCAGAAGAACTTAGACAGACCTACAGATTTATGTGCAGCAATTTTTGATCTGGAATAGGAAATTGACTTTCCTGTGTTAGAAGTGGCAAGCTGACATGGCTGTGAAGTCCCAAAAAGAGGAATGAAAATTGGTAAAACTACCTTCAGAATATCTGCAGAATTTTTTCAATCTTCAGGATTTTTGCTATCTTCAGGCCACATTGCCTCTGCTTAAGTATTTGCTTGAAAGGCACAAAGACTTAATCAGAAAACGATGTTTCTGACAGTCATTTTAGTCCATTTTTTACATATGTGATGGCCTCTCATAGATTTTTTTGTTTAAAATATAAGTCAGTGGATTCTCCTTGTCCATACCAATATCTTGTACATTTGTGACTCACCTTACTTGAGCTTGAAGGGTTGTTTCAGGCTAGCAGCTTCCCCAGCCCTTCCTGACTGGATGTTTCCAGGTGGATATTGACATTAGTTCTTGCAGTCCAGGAGTTTGGGGGCAGACGTAAGTCATGGCAGGCTTTACCCTGAGAGAATTCTGTTCATGTAACCATCTGCACCACTGCAGCCAGACCACCGTTTCCTGAGGCTTGGATAAAAATATTTCCTCTACCACAACCACCCTAGGGGAATAAAAAAACTCAGCAAAACAAAACTGAACTTTCCATACAGACCTTTTATTTTAAACAGCCAATGTTAAATTTCTGCCAAACTTCGAAGGTGCTTTTGATTATGTAGCTTTCAACTACCATGGAATTAATATAGAAAAACTTGTGTTCTTCAGGGAGCTCTGTCATACATCTGCAAAATAAGGTTCTTTTTATGTACCTACACATTAACATTGACATGCACTCCCTTGTTTAATTAACAACATTTGAATGTCGTTTCCTTTCATGTAGTAATTGTATTTTTTTATTCCTAAAGTGATCTCTTGTTTTTTATAGAGATAAAATTAGAAAATGTCAAGATTTGTACAGAAAAAAAATCCAGTAACAATAAGAGGTTCCTTTATACCTTGTGGTTTCTGAAATCTAAATCTGGTCTTTCCTAGTAAGTTTTGAAAAAAAAAAAAAAATCTGATGTGGGAAATGAGCCTCTAGATTTTGACTTGAGGGGAGAACTTTCTAAATTATTTGTTTCTTTCTTTCAGTGAGTTCAAAGCCAACATGCTGGGTCTGGGAACTCTCATCTCTTTAGGACCCTGATAGCAACTATAAATAGTTGTGGTTGTTAATGTAGGTACACACACTGGAGAATCTAGAGCATGTATTACGTGTCCACCAAAGCGTTCAGTTCCAAAGAAGGAGAAGCTAAAACTGCATTAGTAATGCTTCACTTTAACAGCCAGATAAAAGATATATGGTGGAGGAATGCAATCCAGTGTTCACTACCTACTTGAATTTCTTTAATAATGCCAATGACCTCATGAATATTAAAATGAGTCCTGGGTTATGTGTCCTTATGTAAGCTATTCCTCTTGTATCCGGTAAATGGTGTCCATGCAGTTATTAAAAAGAAGAAAAGAGAGGAAAGTGAGGTTAGATCACAGGTGAAAGGTCAACCTCTTGGGAGGGGTCTCAGTACTCTTTGTTTGGTACTTCATTTAAAGAACGAGGAGATATTGTGTAAATAGTTTGAGGTTTTTTTTAAATCAGACTTTAAGTGTGTGAAAGGCAATCCTTTCATTTATGAAGCACAAGTGTGCACAGTAAGATTTATTGTAGTGATTTTTGTGGCTTTTTATTTTACTGAAAAATTTCTTCAAATTAAATATGTTAACAGAGAGATTATAATTATTGTCTTAGGATAAGCCTAGTCCTTTTGTAGTAATTTTTCTGGTGATTAAAATATTTATATAATTATCATAGTAAGTGAACTTTGTCATAGTAAATGTACTTTGCTACTGGAAGAAAAATAATTGTTTGCATAGATTTAGGATAAGATACTCGGACATTTCTGAAAAAAAACCCAGTAAAAAAAAATATTTTCTTCTGAACATTTCTTCTTTAACTGGTGAAATTATTTAATTAACAAGCTTATTTTTGTGTGAGATTTCCTAGAAGTGAAATTTCTAATAGTCATAAAATAACTTTGAAGGATATTCTGTCGAGGAAATTTGGAAAAGTAGCAGGAAGAAAAGACTTGTAATAGGCATTTTTAACCAGTTTTATGCATCCAGATGAAGAAATACAAGTTCTGAATGGTTGTATGAGCATTATCAAAATGCATGTTATGCTGGAGGTTCATTTCCCTTTCAAATTCTGGCACTTCTTCTAGCATATATTACCTTTCTCTCTCTCACCAGTCCCCAAATTCATTTGCCTTGAAAAGAAGACATTTTGCACTGTTTCCTGAAGAAAAGCAGTTTTGATCAATTAGGTCAGAAGCAGCTTCTGTATTTTTGAAACAAAACCTGCGGAAAAAAGAATTAGAAGCATCTTACAGGTACTAGTTTATCCCTTTAATATCTCCATTAATATTAAATAAAACCTGCAAATACAGTGTCTTGGTTATGGAAAATATATTAATTGGGTGTGGGTCAGGAATAAAATCCAGGAACTCGCTTTTAATATTTTTTAAATCAAAAGCTTCTTGTTCTGAACAGCCAACCCATTTAGATTTTCCTTCCGCCTCTCCCTTCCACAAGCGAGTTCCTTCAGCTGACTGCTGCACTCCAGTGCTGTCTGCATAGGTTACAAGCAGTGAAATGCATTACAGCCATCCTCATTTATACCTGTCCTGGTGTCAATGTTACTTCCACAAATGGCTGAAAAAATACAGCATTTTTCTTAATGTTCAGAGTGAAATTTATTACCAAGGACCTCTGTAATCTGCAATGATATGCTGAGGGTTTTTTGGGCATCTGACCAAAAATACCCTTCAAAAGCAAAAGAAAATCCTAACACACGAGGTCTTTTTCTGATCCAAATACGTTTCCATCTAGATCACAAACATCTAACTGAAAATAGTTATATAAATGCAAGAAAAATCCCTTAATCTTATTAAGGATTTTTATTATACATAATTCCTAGGTCCTTTGGTTAACAGTGTGTGTTTCAGATAAAGCTGGGCAATAAACATCTATTTACTGATAAAGTAGGAAGCATGTAACATTAGAAGACAAGCCTTTTAAAAACCCAAAATTTCAAATAAGTTTTCTTAAATGTACTCCCATGAATAGACCTACTAAAACCAATGAAACTACTCATGTGCATAAATTTCAGATTATGAAAAAGTCCTTGAAGACAGGAGATTTAGCTCTTAATTATTTTAGGTCACTGAAGGAAATGGAGGCCACAGTGTCTCCCAGAACAGGTGACAAATCTGCTTAGAAAGGTAGTGTGGAAGTGGCAAAAGGAAAAGGTGTATAAAGCAGTCTCATCCAGGAATGCATAAGCACACTGACGCTGCCATAGACTATTCATCTGGGAAACGGCTGATCTAGGTAATTATATTGCAAAATCTTTAGAGGAGACATCCCATACAAATTTTAGAAGATACAGATTAGGGACTCAAGGTAGCTGCTGGATGCATAATTCACTCCAAATAATTTGTTAGACAAACCTAATTTCCTTTTTTTCTATTTGTGAATTGTACAAGAGCTGTTTATGACTTAGATTTATTATTCAGAATTATTCCCTGAATGAAGGTGTAACATTTATGAGGACTTCATTGCGAATACTTGATATTCAAGTTTTGGCATTCAATATTGTTATGTTGGTTAATTTGAGCAGAACACATCACAGGTTGTGTTTCTCTGAGTGCGAGCAACTCAAAAGTCAGATTTTCTATTCTATATCATCATATTTCAGAATTCAAAAATCACTTTCTATTCCCATTTTGCAGAAACCACAAGACGTCTCACAAACATTCTGGCTAAAGGCACATTTGTTCAAAATTAAAACATTATTTTAATAGAATTGTTTGTCCTATTATGTCCTTATTTATGTCCTATAATGTCTCTATTTCTCAGCTACAACAAGAAGGTTTATTATTTAAAAAACTAAACTAATGGGGATAATTTTGTCCAGCTGCATAATCCCCCAGCTGGGATATTGTGGAATGTCCCATGCCTTATTCATCAGTCCTAATATGTTAAGAATGAGGCTTCCAGTAAAGACACCAATAAAGACTTAAACCTTTAGCTGTCTAAAATCAGTCAGAGGAAATTTTTTGAGAATGAAGAGATCTTGAGAGCTGTTTCTTGTATATTCATAATGTGAGGAAAATTTCTATCTTGGTCCCGTTTCTGGAGAACTACTTCCTATATCATGGAACAAAACTTTTTTGTGGTCCCCCTGTTGCTGGTAAATGCTATGATAAATAGAAGATAGTAAAATCATGAGTAAAAAAAAGAGAGGAAAACATCTTGAAACAGTTCCTAATTCTTATTTTTTCTTGAGGAGGAAGAAAATAGCTAAAGAATGATAAGAGAGATATATTGAGATATTACAGTGCCCTTAACACAAGCAATATTTAGTAATTTCTTAGCCCAGTCTTGCAGTCAGTCATCCTAACCATCTGCTCAGAACTGAACTTTTTCTTCTTCTTCAGTGTAGTTGAACTGTATCAACAGAAACAATTTTTTCAGGGAAAGTAAATGTACCGCTACGAACAGTTTGATGAAAGACTGAATCTTTGTATTCCTGGAAAGTAAGTCTTCCTGTAACAAGCAGCTAATGTTTGAACACGTCAAAGCAAGCCTTTTAGAACAGGAGATAAGAGCACTTGAATGATTCTTGCAAAGTGGTAACTGGCTAACTGGCCTAAAAGCAAATGTTGTGTACGGTAATTTATTCTGTGCGTTACACTTTCCACAGACTTGAAAAGATCTTTACCATGACTCAGTGCATTGGGTTTGACTCCCACTCTCATTTGGAAGAATCGGGTCTGAAATACAGACCCACTGTGCAAACAAAGATTTTATTCCTATAGGCGATGTTGTTGGCATAGGCAGCGGTAAAACTATGGTCAGATCAGTATTGGGAATGGCTCATAACATAATGTCAATCTGAGATGGGCTGTTTATTCATGGTTTTAATTTTAACTATGCTGTTAAAAGGTACGCTGCAGAAGCTTTAATGTTTAAGCAACTATATTGATCAAAAAGTACTGTTATTGATAAAAATTCTTTGCTTTCAGAATTGGGGAATAACACACTGCCAGAAAGCCTTTATTGCTGGCATAAGTTACAGCTGTGCTAGAGGGGATAGCTACACTAACCTAGTGTCACTATCTCGGCATGTGGCCTGTTCAAAGTCATTGTTTACGTGGACTTTCTACCATATGGAGTTATCAACATTTTCTTACAGAAATCTCAGCATTGCTTTGTACTTCCAGAGTGAGAATATAGCAAGACAGACTTTGTTTTCTCTTTTTCTCCTTTGAAAAAATAAAAAAAAAAGGGGAAAGAAAAAGAGAAAAAAAAAAGAGATTAAAAAAAAAAGAAAAACAAAAAGAAAAAAGAAAGAGTTCTCTCTTTCCCTAGTAATCCTGCTCCACTAGAAAGGTATGAATTTTATAAATATTAACATGTCTAAGTATAGACATTTATTAATACATTGATAATTCTCATATTTTGGGTATCCTACTCCTCACTCTAAAATGCCTTAGACTGACTGTGCTGGCACACCCTGAGAAGAGAAATAACTCCTTCCCTGAAAGGTGCCCTATGGTTCTCACTGGGGCTGGACCCAGCTCTGCACACAGTGAATGCCTGGGTGGAAAACGCTTCTTTAGATCCCGTGAGCCCAAACACATGGGGCATTCTTAGGTGGTATTAATATGTAAGAAGGTGGTTAGGACCCTGCCAGGCGTGTTTGGGCACGCTGCCCAAGGCCCTGGTGTGGGTTGCGTGCAGGCACAATGCGCTCTTGTCTGCTCCTGGGAATGCACTTTGAGCAAGTGAGTTAGACATACCTCTGGAAACCTGAGTAAGGCAAACTGTTCCGGTTCATGTTAGGAGGGGAAAGGAAATGAATAAAGTGTATAAATCTTAGTTAGGCCAGCGAGAGCAAAGAGCATTCTTTCATGCACAATAAAGAGTAAAGGAAGTAAATGTAAGTAAGAGTAAAGAGAAGTTTTGAGCTCTCCTCTGCAGCAAAAACACCATGAAAATCCCTAGAAAGACTCAGATGTGTATAGATAAACAAAAGTACTACAGAAGTCTTTCTGAGTGTGTGCAAAAAGTTCCTAATAAAACAATGTATTCTGAGAAAAATATCAGTATACTGAAACCTGAATTTTACCCTGAGAACTGACAAATATTTTTCTGTTAAAGATCTAATTTGAAGAGTATTTACTCGGTCCTTTCTGGGCCTCTGAAATCTTCCACATTTACTGCTGAAGGAAAAGAAGCCTTAAAAAGTTAAGATACATTTCCCCTAATCTGGGCTTCAAAAGAGTAATACTGTAGCCATTCCAACACAAAACAGTCTCCCAAGGCTTTCATGTCAACAAGCCTAGAAGTAGCTAGTCCTGCAAAGTCAGAGGGCTGGAATTCAAAAGTGGCTGCCTTCCCTCTCGCCTGCCTCCCAGATGGGTTTGGAATGCATGCATATCCCAGTTCTGGAACATCACCTGTCCAGGTTTCTGAAACAAGGTTTTGAAATTCCAGTTCATAGGAGATTGCTGAATATTTGATTTTATAATCAAGGTAGAATGAGATAGCACATCAAAATACACAATTCCATGCAAATAAGAAAATTTGTTTTGACATAATTATATTCTAGCCTCCTTGCTGTTTTCATACATCATTGATTAGCTACGTACAATGAACTATTCCAAGGAAATAACACACACACACACACACACACACACACACACACACACACACACACATATAAAGACACATACACACACAAATATATGTAATTCTTTAATCTCTACATACGTAGTAGCAATAGTTGAGATTTTTGTGGAGATAAGCATCTGATGGGGCTTTGGTATTGCTGACGAAAGAATTCAGCTACTGGAACAAGTCTATCCTACAGATGATATAGCAAAATTACTCCAATGGCTAAGGGTACATTGGTGGCACTAGGACAAAGATTCAGATCAGGAGAAGCCACATACAAATATGTATGAAGATGGGAAGCATATGGGCTGTATGGAAACTTAAAGCAGATGGTGGAACAACTTAAGAGTAGAAAGATCAAAGTTACAGATAAAACTAGTTAGATTAGAAAACTCCAGCAAAAGGAGAAGGAGTAACAATGGACAATATATTGAACAAGCAATAAAGACAATGCTGTCACAGAAAAGACAGTCTCTGCACTAGGTTGTGTTAATTGGAGAATCATGTCTGATACAAGGAAGACAGCTTCCAGAGATGCATTTTCCAGGCTTCAGTTAATACAGATATGTATCCACCTTGTGCATTTATAGATGTGACCACATTTCCCATCCTCAGAA